ATAAAGGTAGGCTATCATGAAAATACAGTAACAGTAGTCCACAAACCTGTGTGCTATATTCCAATCTTCTGAAGCCATACAATAGCATTGTGTGATGAACATTTTTTTTTTTTTTTTTTTTTTGCCAGTCCAGTGAGATGTTACCTAATATGACTGGATAAATGAGTCAGTGAGTTGAATTTGAGAACCGGATCAGGCCGATTCATGAGCATATCATTCAGACCAGTTTTATGAACTCTATCAACAAATTCATTGAAAAGAATCGACTAACATTGAAAAACATCTTATCAATCGTACATCTTTACTTCCCACAAATTCTCATGAACATGCTAAGGAAAGCTATGAGGATGTCACTATTTTTAGTTAAAGGAGTAGTTTACTTTTCAAAAAACTTTTGTTGATAATTTACTCACCCCCGTGTCATCCAAGATAACCATGTCTTTCTTTCTTTAGTCGAAAAGATATTAAGGTTTTTGATGAAAACATTCCAGGATTTTTCTCCATATAATGGACTTGAACCAAACGGTTCAAGGTCCAAAACATAGTTTCAGTGCAAACTGCAAACTGTTCAAAGGGCTTTAAACGATTTCAGACAATGAATAAGGGTCTTATCTAGCGAAACGATCGCTCATTTAAAAAAAAGACAAATTTTAAGCTTTATAAGCTCAAGTGGTCGCCTTGCTCTGTTTTGTGATGCGCGTTCGTGACTCTCCTGTTCGAACTCGTTGATCAAAATGAACAAATCTTTTTTCGAGTCAATTCGTTCGTTTCGTTCATTGAATGAACCAAATGACACGGAAAAAGATTCGTTCATTTTGATGAACGAGTTCGAACAGGAGTCACAAACATGCGTCACAGAACAGAGCAAGGCGACCATTTGAGCTTATAAAACTTAAACTTTGTTATTTATTTAATAAATGAGCGATCGTTTCGTGTGATAAGACCCTTATTCATCGTCTGGGATCGTTTAAAGCCCTTTGAACAGTGTGCAGTTTGCACTGAAACTGTCTTTTGGACCTTGAACCGTTTGGTTCCCATTGAAGTCCATTATATGGAGAAAAATGCCTGAATGTTTTCATCAAAAACCTTAATTTCTTTTCGACTGAAGAAAGAAAGACATGGACATCTTGGATGACATGCGGGTGAGTAAATTATCAGCAAAAGTTTTTTCAAAAGTGAACTACTCCTTTAATGATTTTTGTGTGAACTATTTCTTTAAGATTACGATTCCTAAAATGTTTCGGTGTTCTGCAAGTAAAGGCTAAGCTGTGTTATTTTATGCCCAACAGGCTTCTTCTGCCCTGTAGTGCCAACTGCTCATGTCCCAGCAGCACCTTTAACCCAGTGTGTGGTGAAAACAACATTGAGTACATCTCACCCTGCCATGCTGGGTGCAAAAACTACACCATGGATCCCGATAAACCACACAGAATCAAGGTAAGTAAATAAACCTGACAAAACAGAACCTATTTCATGTCATGAAATTGTCATCTCAAGCCAGAGTTCAAGCAGAGTCACTGCATGTATAGATCTATCCATTTAGACCTTTATTTGGCTCATTACTGAAGCTGGATAGCAGCTCATTGTGAGCCTCTGCTGTACTAGCGACACCAAGCAAATGACCAGTCATGGTCTGTTAGTGATCAATGGGTTGAATCCATCCAATCAATCGCTAATTAGTAATACTTCCTTGGAGGAAGTTCTTTGGGAACTTTAGAGTGTTAAAGCTTCTGTATAATTGCCCACCAAGAGACTACAGGAGCAGCTGATGATGAATTACTCTGTATAACACAGCACATATCATACCAAGAGGCAATTATTGTAAGAAATAGACTTGGTTCTGGACTCCTATGCTGGTTCAATTCAGTCAAAACAGGAAATGGAGGACACTGTGTCATTAGAAGTCAATGGAACACAAGAAAACATTATAAAATGAGAGTTAGTATTAGCAGCACTTTTAGTTAGCAGTGCTCTTTAAAGTAAAAGTATCCATATAGCAATAATGATGTTTGTAATGAAGATATGCACTCATGCTGGGTTTCTCAACTGGGTTTGCTATTACAAAATGGACCATAGAAATTGAAAATGATTAATTATTGTATTATTGGGTTGTTATTTTATTATGTGACAGACCATGTTTATCTGTATGAACCTTTATTTTTCGAAGTCTGGGTCAGATTTAATTTTACCTTGTGTAGTTTTGTTTTTCAATGAAATGGACATGTCACACCTAATGTGACAGGTGAATTTGTGTACAGATAAGCCTATGTTTTCATAGATATACACGAAATACTAAAAAAAACAGTACCTATTACTGCACACTTACCAGTTAGCTTAACATTTACAGCTCTCATGTTCATATTGACAAACCCTATCATAAAATGTCCACTCACATCTCTTTCCACACAGATTTTTAGGAACTGCCGGTGTATTCCTGGTATGGGCATCGCAAAGCCTGGCCCTTGTGCCAACTCCTGCCCTCACTATCTCCTGCCTGCAATGCTCATCATATCTCTAGCCGGACTTATTGCCAGCCTAACACACAACCCTATCTACATGATGGTGCTGAGGTGAGAAACACAACATTGCATTCAGTGTGAGAACTTCAAATGTAAGAAATAGTTATTTTATTTTATCTCATCTCTTTTCACTCATTCTGTCTTCAATTATAGGTCAGTTCCTTCAGAAGAGAAGTCGTTTGCCATAGGGGTTCAGTTTCTGCTTTTGAGGGTTCTTAGTAAGTAAATGACCAAAATACCCTTTTTTTACTTTTATTTATTTATTGTTTTAAAGTGTTAAACGTTGTCTTTTCATGAGATTTTTTCCTGTAAGATCCCTAATAAACAAAATAATTGTTAAGAGAAAGTGGTCAGGGTAAATAACCATTTAAATAAAAAAACAAAAAAACTCTGTCTAAATTGTGCAAGTGCAATTGGAAATACTGTAAGTACTATACGCCCCCTTGTGGCGATACAACAGCATAGTTACTGTATATTTGTATATTCTGTATCTTATTACAACAACATCATTATAAACTATCTATGCTTATTTAGTATGTTAGTTCATATCAATATATATTTGTTTAAACGTGTAGCATAATGATTTCTTTCTCTTTGCTTAGCGTGGCTGCCAGCTCCGGCTTTGTTCGGGATGACCATAGACTCCACGTGTCTCTGGTGGAAAACGGCTTGTGGGAAAAAGCAAGGATGTGGCTACTATGACAACAACCTTCTTAGAAACAGGTAGGGATATGTTCTCTTTTGACCTAAATACATTATAAAGGTACATTTGTGTCAAAAATCCTAAAGGTGGGTTTTGAATTTAGTGAGTTCAAACACACATACTGTATACTTCACATATATTCAGCAACAAAAGCTGAAATTAAATTGTGCTGATAAGTGTTATTAGACTAAATTCTAGCACTGATGATGATCATGATGACTCGTTACAGGTATCTAGGGCTTCAGGTGGGCTATAAGGCGTTAGGCATTGCACTCATGGCATTTATTGGCTGGAAAATGCACCGGACCAGAGAGTACAGCTTAGAGAAAAAGCCAGAGGGACCCCTGTGATGCCTCAACCCTGCTTCACCTATCAGATCTCACTTTTGAGAACCTTCTCAGTGAGTTCCCCTGGACATTTCTTGTCAGAAACCCCTCCTTTCAACAACTGGCTGGAAATTTGATGAATTCAGTTTGGATATGCCTCAAGCTGTTACACGGAGTAACTGCTTGAGTATTTATTTCCCCCCTGCATGCAAGCATGGTCCTAACTGGAAATATTCATGGACTTTCAACCTATGCAGTTAGTTTGGTATTAATAAATAACTATGTAAAGTAACTAAAAAAAATTCATCATAATCTTAGCCGCAGTTTTCATCAGCAGATATTTGAAGCTGGATTTATGAGGAGAACACAACACATAAGAGAAATGTCTAAATATGCTCCTTGCAATTGAATCATGATTCATTCAAAGATTCAAATCTTCTCTTCTATGTGAAGACTATGTGAAGGATGTGGAATGCTCTGTCTCAACTATCGCCAGATGCACACAGATACACAAGTGTGTCAAATATCAAACTGTGTTGCATTTGAGGTGTGTAGATTCAAATAACGATAGTTGCCTGAGTAGATTTAAAATGTTACTTTCAAATGTGAAGACGTTTTAAAACTAGGCATCAAATGTTTGTAAAATATATTTTTTATATCTGATATTGCTGTTTTATTATACCCTTTGTGCATATTGTTTTTCCACGGTTCTTAACACAAATGAAAAAATGCTTTTCTTATCGCTGCTTGGAGTATAATATTTTTATTATGCGACATGTAACGTTTATTTACCAATGTATAAGTTATTTCAAATATAAAATTTGTTCACAAATTGTTGTAGTTGTTTTTTTTTTTCGGCTGATGTTTATGAAAGAGCATTTGTGCCACAAAAGAAACAAAATCATGGTTAAGTGATTATAATTATGTTTATGGCATAAAAAGTTTAAATTATGATATAAATGATAAACAAAATCTTCATTTTTATTTAAAAAAAAATCGAATAATTATGTATCTCAGTTCCAGTTTGTAAATGGCTCAATATCTCATAATTTCAACTTTTTGTAATAATTATGACTATTTATCTCATAAGTCTGACTTAATATCTCATAAATTCAACTCTTCATCTCATAATTACAATTTTTTATGTTAACTAAAAAAAATCACACATGCAGGCTTTGGATTACCAGCTCAAAAATCAATCAAAAATCAGCTGTGTCAAAGTCAGTATTTTTAACATAAATGTATGTATTATTAAAATAAGCTATAAAGGAAAGACTCTGCTTACTGAGGGACGGGGGGGGGGGGGGGGGGGTGCAGATGACGTCATGCTATGTGGGTTGAGACAGCATGACGTCACGTTATGTGGGTTTATATAGCATTACGTCGTGTATGTGTGCGTGAGAGAGTGAGAGAGAGGTGGGGCCGCGCATGCGCAACAGCTATTAAGCCTGACAGCCGATCCAGTGCAGTATTCCAGTTTCCAAACGCACAGGAACGCCGCTTTCTCCATCGCGCTGCCCCATCCAGACATTTACGCCGGTGGGAACACGCTGCCAAAAAAACAAGCCCTCAAACATGTCTGTGGGAAATGACTTTGGAAACCCTTTAAGGAAATTCAAACTCGTCTTTCTTGGGGAGCAAAGCGGTGAGTGTCATATTGGAATTTCCTAGGGAAGTTTCAATAATACGCTTTATTATTGATTATTTACAGGGGTCTGTATAGACCGCGACATGATAATATTGATTATGAAATTGTATTAATACATCAAATTCATAAGCCACTGGATCTAGTGTGGCGTGTTGTTTTGATCTGTTATGGGATTTACATATTTCATTTGATTAAAGTTTAATTTTCCGAGAAATAATCACTTTGTTGATCTTTTCTGTGCTTTTTTGCATTTATTTCCTTCAGATATTTCAGAAATTATCATTTCAACTGATTATCAAGTTTAAAGACTTAAAGCGGTTTAATTAATTTTAATTAGGCTATAATATTGATGTAATGCTTTTTATATAAAAAAATATAAAATATTTATATAAATAGCTAGATTTCGTGAATTTAATCCAGTGATGGGCTATGTTCTACTGCAGTCCCATATCTAAAGTCTAGTGTTTTTATTATTATACTTTTTCTTTTTTCTTTCTTCTTTTTTTTTTACATATGCTATCAGGATATTATAAAAGTTTCGTAAAGGCCCACCTGGATGCTTTTACAGATTTCAGTGTTGTGTAAAATGTAGCTGGTGTACTTAGAGAACAGAATGAATAACATAATAAATAAATAAATAAAATGGATGTTGAGACACACCCAGTGTGTGCCATTGAGAGAACTTATGTTGCAGCCTGCAGACTCTGCCTGGTATTGTTTCTCTATGATGACAGTGATGGTTAGCTCAGTAATTTTACCTATTGATATGGATGGATGAGTCTCAGCAAATGCAAGTAGGTAGGTTAATGTTTAGCAGGGCAACTCCGCTTTTATTTCCCTTGGCATTCTGCCTGCTGTCGTCATTAAACCTCCTACCAGATGAATTAAGCTTCCAGCAGATCTTATCTGTCCTCAGATCTGTGAGACTTAAGTCTGAGATTGTGCTGCGGAGAGTATGATTCACACTGTGAGAGTAAACAATGGATGCTGCCATGGTACAGAGGCACTGCTTCTCTCCAAGGACTCTGATACTAGCTTTATTTTGTTGTCTCTTTCTGAAGCCTTTCAGAGATATTGTGAAGTAGTAAAGAGACCCTCCTCACAGCTTTTTGTGGATTTCTCGGGGGATCGTTGATCCATGCAGAATGTGCTACAGCTTGTGGATCTATTCCAGCCATTACTTCCATAAACTCTCAAGTTCAACTTATTAGGCTGCTGTCGGAGAGATTTCCTTTAGAGGCCTTATACAGTACCGGCCAAAAGTTTTTGGAAACATTACTATTTTAAATGTTGTTAAAGAAGTTTCTTATGCTCATCAAGCCTGCATTTATTTGATATATATATATATATATATATATACTGTATATTAGGCAAATTAGTGTGAAATAATATTGTGAAATATTATTAGAATTTAAAATAATGGTTTAATATATATATATATATATATATATACAGTATATAATATATATATATTATATATATATATATATATATATATATATATATATATATATATATATATATAATTTTTTTCGGTGATGTTTCTGTGATCCAAAGCTGAATTGTCAGCACATTACTCCAGTCTTCAGTGTCGCATGTTCCATAAGAAATCATTTTAATATTATGATTTGATTGATACTCCGTTATTATCGATCGTTGGAAACAGTTGTGCTGCTTAATATTTTTTTGGAACCTGTGATATTTTTTTTCAGGGTTCATTGCTGAAGAATTATTTTAACTCCTTTCTGAATAAAAGTAATAATTCATTTAAAGAAATTACTGGAAATTACCTCTTTTTTCCTTCCAAATTCATCTTTGCATCACATAAATTATATTTTAAATAGGGCTGTGCAAAGATTAATTGTGATTAATCGCATCCAAAATAAAAGTTTTTGTTTACATAATAAATTTGTGTGTGCTGTGTATAATTATTTTGTATAAATACATACGCATGCATGTATATATTTAAGAAAATGTGTTATTCATATATAAAATATTTATATTTATATAATGTGGATTATGTATATATATATATATACTGTATATATATATATATATATATATATATATATATATATATATATATATATATATATATATATATATATATATACATACAGTAAATAATTATTAAATATATACATGCATGCATATGTATTTATATATACAAAATAATTATACACAGCAGACACATATACTATGTAAACACAAACTTTTTATATTAAAATGTCAACCCATTATTTTAAATTTAGCAGAGTTTGGATTCACTGGCCAAAGCTCTATAAAACCTTTGTCTGTCAATCATGACAGTGCTTTTTTAACCAGGTGAAGTTGCTGGCTTATTTTCAGAGCCATTGAGATATTGAAAGCCTGCATGACAGCTGCAATTACTCTGCAAAAAGGCTTTAATGTGCTGCCTGTGACTTAAGGAAGAGATAAGCTGAGAGGATTGGTATTGACCAGCACAGACAGTGAAGTGTTTGTTATCCAGTATCACTGACAAGCACAGTAAACTACAGTCACAGTGCACCACTTGTTGTATCAGTCCAAATCAGCCATGTTGCACTGGTAAATAAATTATTATTATTATAAAATGATTGCAGTCTCTGATTACAACCTCTGCCGGTAAACACACTGTCAATTATGCATGTTGTTGATGTTGAGGATGAACAGCAATGTTTCATTCCACTTGTTCTTTCTCGCCGCTGTTATTTCCTTTAGAGACACTTAATGCAACCATTTGTAGAGCAATTTGTGACATGGTATTGATTTTTCTCTTCAACTCTTCTTTATGGCTCTTTTTGCCCTTTCTATGTACATCAGCACATATTTGAAACAAGATAAGAAAAGTCCTCATTAGAATGCTAATGCATAATTGAAACATACACCAAACATTAACGCTTTCCCTGCCAATTATGAGTATGGCTTTCCATGTTACACTGTATTACGCATCTCCTGAACGAGTACAGTATCTCCTGATCAAAACACAGGTAAAGAAGAAGCAGAGATGAGCAATCTCATACTGTATGTAAGCAGATGCATATGAAAAATAACACGATTATCATTAATAAACAGGATGAAATCAAAATGGCCTAATGTTACTGAATGAAATATTGACCCAGAACGAGCTATAGGACTGTGAAGCTTTCGGGGTGTTGATAGACTCAATCTACTCCATCTATTTTGATCATCGACAAAAATGTGATTCTCTCTGCTTTTTGCTCTCAAAATGTTGCTTTATTTATCAAACTTTTTTTTAAAGCAGAGGGCCTGTTCATTCTTTTGATCTGTTGTATGTTCAGATATTCATAGAACAAAATATTATAGGGGCCATGAAACTTTTGTGAAATGGTGACCAAAATGGTGACTGGCAATTTGGCATTATTTGTTGTTGTTTGGCCATACTTGGAAAAAAAATAATAAAAAAAATCCATAATGAAAGTCAAGGGGTCAATTAGACCCTGATGCTATTTTTGACCCCATTGACTTTTTATTATGGAATATGGATTTTTAACTTTCCCATTGACTTTCAATATATGGTTTAAAAAAAAAACATATATATATATATATATATATATATATATATGAATAAAATAAAATGATTTTAATCACCTTTTCATTACATTTTAAATACTAATCATATATATATATATATATATATATTATATATATATATATATATATATATATATATATGTGAATAAAATAAAATGATTTTAATCACCTTTTCATTACATTTTAAATAATAATCATACACACACACACACACACACACACACACACACACACACACATATATATATATATATTACATATACATTTAAGCACTATTCACTGATATCCTTCACCTCCACTGCAGCTTTTGAATCAAATAGCTCCTAAGATTCAAAACTAGAACATATTTGCATAACACTGTGCGGTAGACCAATCCCTCTGGGTCTGTTCCCACTTCCCAGTGCACACAAACACTGTACGTTGAATGCTGTTGAATGCACAGTTCACCTATCTGTCAAATGTGTCCAAACATATATACATTGCTTTGAATGTCAAGTCTAATGTGTTCAGGCTCAAGACTGCCAATGTCAGCATAGTTTTAAATAACCCCCCACATTGCAAATGTATGGTAATTACCAGCAATCAGTGCTTGAAATATAACCAACACCAGTACTATCTGCACTTTAATAGGTCAGTTTGCATGGACAGCATTTTGTTAAGCAGGTGTGGGCGATTACCGATTGAGATATTAAATATGAAGGGGAAGTCAAATTTGGAGAGTGGATAGATGCAATATGGAAACGGAGATAGTGGAGAAGAATAGGGACTGCATGCGAATGAAGAAAATCCAATTGTGGAAAGGAGAATCCTGGCGCTCGTATATCTCATTTAAATGGCTCCAGATTGAGGCAGGCTTTGCGAGAAGAAGCTGTCCAAGGTGCTGAACACCCCCCAAACCCCCTCCCCGGGACACATGATGCTGGTTTGACTTTAGGTTCCTGGCTGGGGTTCGTTGAAAAGGTAGGGATCTGAAAAACGTTTCCAGTCAGTATAAGGAAGATAGTGGAGCGTTATCATGCTGCAGCACACACACCACACCACTTCTGGAACCTTTCATGTCTCATTTCTTAATGTCCTGTGACCTGGTTCCAGACATATTTAAGCTGGGCAAATGCAGCTAGTTTGACTGGCTCCATGTTGGCTATGTTTCCTCACTTGCAGCACATTGAATGTAATTGCAGTCATGAATCCTGGCTGATCAGAGGCCATCATTTATTAATGGCAAGGACTGGGCTGAGGGAAGCTGGAAAAGCAAAGAAATAAAAAGCCTAGTGACTAGTCACCATGTTCCAGCCCACAGAGCTCTGATACAGCCGTCTGGAGGAGTGTCATGTGGGAGTTCTGTATTGTGTTGGTGGCGTTAAGAATCCCAGTGGTGCTCGTTGTCTTCACACACTGGAGTCTGGAAGCCTTTACTATCCATTGAGTCGGTCTGAAACAGC